CTTCAAGTGTATCACCTGCAAGTTCCATAGATTTATCTTCAGAATCATCATCATCAACCTCCATTACTCGAAGGTCTATAGAATCCATTGATTCAGCTTTGAGTGTTCATAATCATGCAACTGGTTGGAACAAAAATGAAAATGGAAATCAAATTTCTTCACTTTCTCGACCTCCTTCTGTTCAACCTACAGGACTCAGAATGCCTTCACCCAAGATTGGATTCTTTGATGGGGTCAGTTTTTTCTGAATAATTTTCTAATTGCTATTTCATAAACTGTTTTAATTGAAATGAATCAATGATGATTGTGATTTGTGAATTGTGATGCAGGGAAAATCAGGTGTTAGAACTCCAAATGGAGGTGGGAATGCCATACGATCTCAAACTAGGGTTCCGACAAGCTCAAATGGTGTTAATAAAATTCCACCACCAAAAACAGGTTTTATGAAACCAAATCCTCAGAAAACTGGCTCTAAACAACCCTCTCAAGAACAACCAAAAACAAGTTTGAATATTTGCTTAAATCCAACTGATAATGATAGCTCAAGGACACCATTTGCTGTGAAGAACTCTGTTTGTGAGGTTAGTGAGAGTGGTTTGACTATGGAGGTGCTTGAAAAGGGTGTTGACTTTTCTTTTGTGGAAAGTCAACATAAGGAGAATAGTGAGTTTATTTGAAGTTTTTTAGGGGTTATGTTGCATAGGTGATTTGTTATTTTGTGTATTTTGGTATAACTTGAATTCTGGTATGGTGTTTTCTGTTTTGATGATGGTGATTTAATTACAATATTATACTTTTAATTTCGCCCAAGTAGATATATCTCGTTAATTTTTTTAATAGATATATTTCATCGGTATTGATGTTGATACTTGATGGTGGTCTAAATACGTTTTTGCATAATAATGTATTTTTCAAGTTAGTTTAGATGTCTTGAAGATTAATTTTATGGATATTTCGCAATTCTTTTTAATATACCCTCAAATAATAGTTGTTAGTGTCATAAGATATTATTTATCCCCAAAATTAATACACTTTTTTTTGGCTTTATTTTACGAAAATATGTATATTTTATGAAATGTTTATTTGTTTCGTGAAAAAAATGTCTCGGTTTTTCAAGTGCTTATGTTGTAACTTTTATTTTTTAAGAATGCCAAAAATCAACTTAAAAAATACTGATAAAGTTTATTAATCTTTAATGTTGTAGTAGACGGCTAACAAACAACTTATAAAGAATAACTTGTCCTTAGTATTCAAAACACACGATTGAGCAATAATGAATTACATGATGCTTGTATTTGATGATTTTAGAGGATCAATGACCATGATATTTCAACAATGAGATCATCTACATAAATAACACCATACTCATGTGACTTCAAAGTCAAAAGAGAATTTTAAGAAGCCTTAATGTTTTGAATATTTTCAAATCATAATATACACGCAATGAATATTAATATTAAATTTTACTTTTAGATTATAGCATTTTTTTTTTCCAGAAGGTACATACATTAGTATATTTAAGGTGCATATATTAGTATATTTAAGAGGCTTGCCTGTTCAAATCACAATGCACGGTCTAAAACCACCCACATCGCCACCTTTCAATTCCTTTTGCAATGCAAGATATTCAATTTTGTATGCCACATAAGTATAGAAAGTCTTGTAAAGTAATATTTAATATTAAACAACTCTTTTCATTTTAATATTTTATTTATTGAAACTCTTTATTATATATATATATATATATATATATATATATATATATATATATATATATATATATATATATATATATATATATATATATATAAAAGCTTTATGAAATTATTATCGTTTAACATATTAACTTTAATTTTAATTTCAACTATATATATACATCAAATCGAATAGGGGGAGGGGATATTAAATGGATTGAGGGGGGCTGAATACCTTCACCCTATTAATAATTATTGTTTATTTAAATATATAGGATTATAAACATATTAAATTAAAAGAAATAAAATTATTTAAACATAATCGATAGAGTACATAAAACTAACATCATTTTCCGTTTAATAAATATCGAGTTGCATTTCATACAACTTTCTTTGTCGTTCTGACAATGTTGTATCAATTTCTAATAATTTCATCGTTAATTTACTTTTTTCCGCTTATCTTTTTTCATATGGTGGTATTTCAAAGTTCTTGCGTATTCTTTCATTATGTTCATTTTTTTCCATTTCACTGGCATCTCTGTCTTTTTTTGTATACTAGTACACCATTTCTCTTCATCATGTAATGTCATCCAATTGTGTAAAAAAATGAATTCGGAACCCTCTGATGAAATATATATTGTTAGACCCCTTTTTTTCTTCTTCATTTAACCCACTTTCATGCTTATGTTGGATTTGTTCAAAACACCCAACAAACTTAGAAACAACGTGATTGAGTCCAACAATAATTTTAAAAGTTATGTCACAAAATTTGTGGATATGACATGTTTTTTTTTGGTCTTCCAGGTATATTAAATGACATCAATGTGTTAGACCTTTCTCCTATTTTTTACTAGATGTTAGAAGGGAGAGCACCAAAGGTTAACTTCCAAATAAATGATAACAATTACAATTTAGGTTACTACCTAACAGATGGAATTTATCCTAATTTGGCTATTTTTGTAAAATCAATACCATTAACTCAAGGACCAAAACATACACTATTTGTAAAGAAACAAGAGGTAGCTAGGAAAGATGTTGAAAGAGCATTTGGCGTATTACAATTATTAGTGAACCATCGTGTATGTGATGCAAAGAAATAATCGGTGAAAGAATGAGATCATGTATCATTGTGCACAATATGATTGTGGAAGATGAACGTAATTCATATATTCATCAATTTGATTATATAGATAATGATATTAATTTTAATATATCTTGGCTTTAAATTTCCCGAAGTCGTCTTCCCTCATATGACATTTATCTTCGGAGTTATGCAAAAATCCGTAATAAATCCATAAATCATCAACTACAACCAGATTTGGTAACAGAGATCCGAAATCGATTTGGAGACGATGAAAATGAGGAGCAATATTGTAATATTCATTTTATGATTCATGTTTTTGTATCGTCTTAATATTTAAATAATTAATAAAGTAAAATAAATTTAATATTTATTATTATTTTGTTATTTTATATTTAAAAATATTATTTTATTATAATAATTAAATTTATGTTTATTTATTATCGAGTAAATATTAATATTTAATGTTTAGTATACATGTTAAAAACTTAAAATAGATAAAGTAATTGTTGATATAGCAGTGATGACCACTTTAGAAACATGAGTGATATTGTATTGATGTAGAAATTATTATTAAACCATCCGATATGCTTCAATTCGTGACCACTAACCACGAATTACGAATCTGAACACCATCCCAAGTGTTTGTGGTGGGGAGCACTAACCACCACACCCAATCTTCTTCATTCTCTCTTGTCTCTACCTCTCTTTACATTTTAATTAATTTTTTTATTTTAATAATAAAACAATAATGATGTAGTGGTGGGTATCTCATACGTTTAGTGGTTGAATGTGATGATGAGGTGATACTAACCACTATAGTGGTTAGTGGTGGGTATAATGGATGAACTTATAAAACATATTTGAAAGATGAATGATATTTCATTGATATGGATGATGTAAGTAGTTCACTTGTAGATTAGTTGTTCATCCTTTAGCTTGTGGTAGATGATGTAATTTTATTAGTTATTGATGATATTCCAATTACTTTTTAGGTTAATACTCACATACAGATCAACATGTAAATAACTAATAAATAATATTTTTAAGATATATTGGTCATATTAGATAGAGTTATCAGAAGTAACAACATAATTTAGCATATTTGATTGACTTATAGAAAAAAAAAAAAACCCCTCCAATACTCAAAAATTCAAAAACCAATTCGATATATTTGATATATGTCAAAAATTGTGACATTGATTAGCCCCAAACACCTTCCTCTTCCTGTCATGTGTTGCATGAAAATAAGTTCAGTATGGAATAATCTATAATTTGCCCAATAACATCTATTTTGCTCAACAAAAAAAATAAGTAAGTTTAATGTGTCATCCCTAGTAAAAAATGAGGCATCATGTCTCACGATGTTCATAATGTATATAGTTATACAAAGCATACAACATAGTTTATCAAATCTACGATTAAATAGCCATGCCAGTTTCACGAAAATCAACGAAGCTGATTTGTGTGTAACTGGAATTGTGAAACTTGAAATCCTTAATATTACTAGAGGTTTATTTTCCAACAAAAAAAAAAGGTTGAAGTCCATTGAACCGACTTGAATTGAATATTACCACCTTAATTGAAACTTGCTTAAAGAATGAATTGTATACTACCACCTTAATCAGATCTTATAAAGAACTCAATCATGAGTTGGTAATGTGGATCTCCTGAAACACATTAGATGCACGTGGAACAGTAACACGTGTTTCAAAAGATGAACTGATTGCTGATTCAATTCTTTTATATGATTTAAAATTTCATTCGTTGAAAACAATAATAATAATAATAATAAAAAGATACCATACATATGACTCCAAAACTAACGTAATAACATAACAACATTGATGCATATATAATAATTCAAAGTAACTTCAAGTTGATATTTTATTTTATCTATAATAAGGTATCATTCGCTTGTTATATATTTATGTATATAAAATTTACGAAAATTAAATTTAGCCATATAGTGGTAACAATAATAACTTGAAAAATACTTATAAACCAAAGGATTAATCCAGCAAGCAATAGAAATAGAAATAGAAATAAAACACGAAATATGTTTATGTTGATAATTAAAAGTAGAAAGTAGAAACATATAAATAAATTACGATAAAAGCAAGCAACCACTGTACAAAACGAGCTATTGGAGGGGTGATGCTCGTCAGTCGTCAAACATGAAAACCAAACACCTTCTTTCTGTACACTTTCTCCTCCATAACCTTACACCAATCTACCACCTACCTCTCTCTTCTCTTCTCTGTATCTACACCACCACCACCACCACCACCACCAACCACCGCCACCTAAACTGATTGATAATTACATATAATATTCACAGCATATACCATCACCTAAGAGAGATGAAACGATCCTTGCCCTTCTGTTATTGCATATAACAGCTTCTCCTTCATCATTTCCTGTAAATGGACCAAATAGTTAGAAAACTTGAAAAATAAGGACCAAATTGGCATATGAAAAAACAAACGTTTTGGGACCAAAATTGCAAAAATCATCTATACTAAGGGACCAAAAATGTAATTGATGTGTTTTATATAACCTTAGAAGAATACGGAGGCAATTTCAGATAATTAGCACATGTCATCACACTTGGAAGATCCGCATCCACCACTTTATCACAAAGCTGTCAAATAAAAAAAAAAAATTAAAACAAGTCCTAAAATATTATTAATTCTAAAAAAGAAAAAGAAAATTACCAAACTGACCTTGCGTACGATTGTGAGTTTTGGGTTGAGTGATGCCAACCCACCAATAGGAAGCCGTGGTGCACCAGTCACGAATTTCACAAAAGCTTTTTGCTGTTCATAGTCAAATTCTTGTATGACTTCCAAAAACTGCATTTTTCTTAAATTTAATTATTAAGAAAAGTAAAAGGAATAATAAAAAATAAGAATTAATAGTACTAACGTGTATAATGGGAGGACTACTAGCTGTATATCCATGATCAAACTTTATAAGATCTGAAAGCTGGTTTGACTGTTGAAAACAAAAAATAATTAGTATCTAAAAATTATAATTTTGTTAAATTAAATAAAACTTACATTCCAAGTTTCACTTTCGCCACATAAAAGACGTTCTAATTCCTCATCGGTGAATATCTTGAGATTTTTAATCGGGAAAACCTGATTAAATCCTGATTTAAAAGCTTCCATTTGTTTCATAATCCCAGAATTTATCGTTGCATCAACCACTAGTTCAATATAATTCTCCAAATTCATCATGTTCACCTGAAAAATTAAACATTTTTTTTTTCATTTTCTCCATATAACAGATCATGAAAAATAAAAAGATGGTTATAAAAGAAAAAGAAAGGATAAATTGGGAAAATAGCAACTTACTTTGCACTTTCTACCAGTATTGGCAATGTAAGTATGTTGCTATTATAGGTAAAAAAATAAAGTACATTGCTAAAAGGAGTAAATTATGTTGCTATTTCCGGTGATTTACCCAAATTTAAAAAAAAAAAAAAAAAAAAAAAAAAAAAGCCTAACCATTTCTTTATCAGGACCAGAAGCAAGAATATAATCAGGATATCCAGGAAGAGTAAAATCCAGATGTAAATCTTGAATTTTTGAACCCCGAAATTCAAATTCTGAATTTTTTCCAAATCTTTCTAAATTCTTTTTTCTTTCAACAAGAGCTTGAAACTCAATCAGGGTTTTACCCAAACCAGCATCAAACAACTGGATGTCATACATAGTAAGTTCCTGGAATCACAAATTCCAAAGTTAAAACAAAACAAGATTGCATAAAATATCATATATTCATATAAGAAACAAAATCAAACCTTTCCAAGAATTAGTTTATAAAAAGCTTTTGAAAACGGAATATCCAAAACCCTTCCATCATGAAGAGCCTTCGCAACCACCTGCCCTAAAAGCACAAATTTTTTATTCACATCCGTGATGGAATTACGCAACGGCGAAGGAAAGAGCCCGAACGGAACGGAATTAACAATTCCGATTCCGGAGTTGTCTCCTCGCCACATTCCCATTCCGGGCTTCTGAAACTCATTACTAACAAGTGTAAAAAACTCCAACGTGGGACCCAGACCCGTTCCAACTTCTTCATCATATTTCACTTCAAGAACAACTTTTTGATTCGCGTGTAAATCCATCATTTTGGAAGCCGATTCAAGAATCTGATTTCTATAAACTAAAAACTTTTTTCGTGGCAAAGGGGAATCATTTTGACCATTTTGACCGTTTTGCCCCTGGTGCTTGCCTAATGCTACTAACTTAAAGTACTTCCATCTTGCCTCGAAACTGAACAAGAAAGGGCATGATGTCATCAACTGTGTACACCATGATGGCATGCCACCTGTACTGATGGCTAACGGGTCCCGCATCTGTTGCTCAAGCTTTTCTGTTAACCTAGTGTTCACAAACTCGTTGACCAAAATACCCTCGTTTGTTGCTTTTACATCATCCAAGTTTCCAATTTTGCCCTCGGAAAACGCTTCAATTCTTTCGCGAGTCATGAGATGGAATCTAGATTCGTTCACGGATTCCAAGATTCTTAGCAGAAATAATATGTTGTGACATGGAGTTGACTGTTCAACAGAAGAACCAATTTCAGAAGGGGGAATACTTTTTTCTAATGATTTTTTGTATGTTATTTTGTGTAATTGATTCCACAATAATCCATTCACAGTGTCATATTCTGATATGTGTTGACTAAGAACAGCTTGATAAATAGTCAACCCTCGGTCAATTTCCTTTCCTTCAAGGTAAAATGATAGTTTCTGTGAAGAACTGGCATCCTGAAAACAATAACACCAATTGTATATAGAAATGTAATTTTCAACTTTGAAGAAATGTGGTAAAAAAAAAGGTAAACTGTTGTATTGTACCTCTGATGGTTTTTGAGGAGAAGTTTGACTTTGACCGACATCGTGTTGACTTTTATCAGAGGGTGATTGAGCATTGTTTGAGCAAACTTTAGGCCATAAGAAAGTTTCAATTGCTTCAAAATCTGAAAATGGGTCAACAGTTTGAACGTCTCCTGTGTATTCAGTCAAAGTTGACTCTCCCTCTTCTTTCACAAATAGAACTCTGAGACATGGGTAAGTGGTGGAATGCCTACGTGGCACAGTGGCATATGAATTCCTGTGTTTGAATGAATTGTTCAACACAACAGGAAAATCTTCAACAGAAGATAAAGCACTTTGTAGTTTTGAGATAAATCCTGATAATGAAAAGTAGTCAAAGGGTTGATTTGTGCGTGATAAAAACAGCCTCCCAAATGCATCCACTCTTGAACAATCACCATTAGAAAGGTAACTAACTAAGGAATCAGTGATTCCGCTCTCGACAAATTCAAAAGTGGAAATCACATCTCTGCCATTGAGAATTGACATGATTTGATGCAATACATGATCATATCCCTCTTGTGTCATCATGGAAGATAATTCAGAAGATAAAGATTTCAGCTTTTCAAGAATTGGAGTCATTCCAGTCTCTGAGGTGGAGGAATTTGTGTCAAAGTAATTTGTTCTTATGTGTTTTGCAAGAGTTCGAACACATTCCAATTCCAACTTACATTTCCTTGATTCTGAAGATGATGAAGTTTTGTTGACATCAAAAGAATAGCATAAGCAGCGAATCAAATCTTTTCCAGCATATTTTTTTCTTGAAGTATTCGATAATTGGATGTCGTTGAACATTGAAAACATAAACTGTGAACACTTTTCAGGGTCTATAAGTGCATCAATGGCAAAAAGAACACCTTCTTTAACAAAAGGTCCCATGAAAACATCAGTATTCTTTTGTAGGATAGTGTCAGAAATATTAAGAGCTAGCATTAGTACATGTATATCCTTCCTAGTGAACACTCCAGCCAAAAACCTAAGAAATTACCAACATGAAACCATTAAAACTGAAGAGAAATTTGATTTTAAAAAAAAAAAAGTATTCTTGAGTATCAAGATTATGTCACCTTGAAATGTTGGTGCTTTTAAGCAAATCAAGAAGCATATCAGAGTTGCTGTAATAAAGTAACTTGTCAACAACAGATAGACACCCATAACAGATATATAAATCCACTCCAGAATCAACAACCTGTTCAGAAAAGAAAAGGGTATATCAGGGAAATTGTAAAAGTTAGCAAGAAATCAGTACAACATGATTGACAAATGACAACCAACCTGGATCAAAACAGGTAATAAATCATTCCCAAATTTCTCTACAAGATCAGGATGAGTCACCAAGAAAGCTTCTTTTTCTGCAGCTAATGGAACTTCTTGATTTCTGGATACAACGGGTAGAAGCTGAATCAACAACTTCAAAACCTCATGCATTTGATTATAATGTCCATCAATTGTTCGGGGGGAAGGGACTCCATGTGAAAGGTCATATATTGACATGATCTCTTTCAAAATGCTACTTATATTAAGATCAAAAAGTGTCTTCACAGCTACCATAGAACCAGAAGCAAGTTTAACAAGTAGTCCAATTAAACCCTACATAAAAATACACAAGAGTTGCTCAAAAAAGATCGAAAAAAAAAAAAAGAAATTGCTAAAAGAAAATAAGATATACATATACATACAGTATGAACAGAATGAGATAGAGTGGTATGGCTGTTCAAGTCTATAAGATGTGCCACTTGATGAATCAATCCATGTTTAGAAAGTTCATCAAGCATTTCACTGGATTCTTGTACTCTTTCTGCTATTTTAATTAAGCATGTAGCAACATGTTCAACAAGCTGCAATCACAAGAATATGTCAGTAAAGTACAAAAGATTATAAGAAAGACCATATTTATATTTATACCTGATTGTCCTCATACTGTAAAAGTTTGCAGAGTACTGGAACTGCATCCATAAAAGGTGAAGAACCTTCAGGTGGAAGCTTCAGACATATATTTACCACAGTGGAAAGAGCAACCCTCTTGAAAAAGAAAAAAAATATTAGCTAAATAAATATGATTTTGATACAAAGTTATTTTGACCTACAGTCTTTATACCTGGAGACTAGTGGAGAAGAAATCAATGAAAGTAAGAACAGCCATGATTGCACCAGATTGTAAACAAGCAAGTGGTTGCTCACGTGATATCTTCTCTAATGCTTGCAAACACTATGAGAGAAGAGAAATGTGTGAATTAAAAACAATAGAATCAGAAGATGTTGAAATCAATGAGGTTTTTGAAATTTCACAAACCTGTTCAGCTACATCTTCGTACTCAAAAGCCAGCAATCTCTTACAAAGTGCTGTAACTCCATCATGTCGTATAATTAAAGCAGAGGATTGAGGATGAATGTCACAGAGATAAGTTAGAGCCCTAATGGATAGGAGCATGATCTCAGGATTGCTTTCATGGCTAGCCAGCTTTATAAGAATGGGAGACAAGGAATCCGCAATTAAACTGGATAAAGAACTGTCTGTACAGAACGAGAGTATTTCACAGAGCTCCCTGAGGGCTTCCTGTTGAGCAGATTCCTCGGTTTCTTCACTCAGATTTGATAAAACCCTTTTGAATTTCGCTTGATCAGAAGATAGCCTTTGCCTTTGGTAATCAAGTATAGCATGCCTTTGTCGTCTTTGATCTGCATCACCGGTTTCCTCTGAATCACAAGAGCCATATGCTGAATCCTTATCTTCGTCTGTACGCCCTGAACCAGAAGCAGATGAAGATGTTTCCATATCGTGGTCATGATCGTGGGTTTGATTCGTGGAGGTGCTTGGGGTTTCAACCGGCGACATTGATGAACTTGGTCTGAACTCCAATGAACTACACGTTCTCTTATCTGCTGGCAATTCATCAACTGTTTCACTTCTTTTATGCCCTCGATTACCCATCAAAACACTGCAAAACTCATTAACAGAACGAACTACCATTAATACGTTACCAAATCAAACATCATAACAATATTAACAACACAGCGGATAACCAGTTTCCCAAACAGACACATTTTTCTCACCCTCAACAAATCATTACACACAACAGTTGACTAAAAAAAGTGCTTTTATAAATCTCCTGATCCTTAATCACACATCAAAAGTATGAAAAGCATCAGACGAAAATTAAATAAAGCACACTTGCGTGCCAGAAACTGAAAAATATCTATATCGATCACTATAACGATTAAGAAAAAATAAATGAATCACCATACTATAACCACAAAATTAAACTCTTTTGTATGAGAAAGAGATAACTTAAAACTACCCCCCATTAAATTTGTTTTTTTTTTCATCGTCCCTGTTAAGCTTAAAACCGACACAAAATACATAAAGGAATACATGGACATGATTGATGATGCGTATACTTGACGAATGATCAGCTTTCGAATTTTTCGATGAAACAACTTACTAATTCGATGAAACAACTTACTAACACGAACATGAAGTGGAGAAGAATCAAGCGTTTGACTACCTTAAATCCGTTAATTCGTAACAGTGATTACAAGAGTTGCAGAAATTGATTTTGCGTGATATTAAAATCCTAATTTGTAGTTGAAATTTATAGAGGGTTTTACCCTAATTTACAGTTCAGAAAAGGGAGGAAGAGAGATGATGATGATGGTGAAACAGAGATGGTATTCGAGTGTTTATATTTTAGATGAATCCTCATCTCCAAATAACAATTAATAATAATACTATAAGAATTTTAAGAGTAAATTACAGTTTAGGTCCCTTTGGTTTACATCTTTCTACATATTTAGTTTTGTTTTTGAAAGTTAGTGCCAACGGTCCTTATGGTTGTAAAATCTATAAACTTTGGTCCCTTAGCCCGTTACCATCCACATGTCTACGTTACATTCATGTTAAATTCATGAAAATCAACGAAATTACCCTTCTTTTTGTTTATATTATTTTGACATTCCTTAAAAAAAGACAATTCATGTAAAAGTTTGAAATCAAGTCCCCAAAAGCCTAACAACTATAATATTCTCAATCTGATATTTACCATAAAAATCTTTAACGAACATCATCTCCTCTTCATTTATATACTCATCGTCGCCGCTCGCTTTCTCTCCCACCATTTAAAGTTCAAATCGACTACATATATGAAGATAGTGAGGGGATGGGTTGTTTTCTGGACCGTAGTGACGGTGATAACTTATCAGAGATGAAGAGGATAAGGACAAGGGGTTAGTTTTTATGGACTCTAGTAATGGTGGTAGCTCGTTGGAGACGAAGAGGATGAGGAATGGTTGAATTTTTCTGGACTGTAGCAGTAGTGGTAACTCGCCAAAGATGAGTAGGGTGAGGGTAAATGTTGTTTTTTTCTTGAATGTGGCATTGATGATTAGTTCGTCAGAGATTAAGATGATGAAGGGGACAAATTTTTTTTCTAGATCGTGATAGTGATTGTAGCTTGATAGATGGGGGTGTCAACGAGGACAAACGGGATGGGGAGTACATCCCCTCCCCCGCCCCCACCCTACAATGTCCAGCCTTCCTACCCCCGCCCCCGCCCCCAAATCCCCCTTATTACCCCTCTTCGCTCCCGTTCCTTCGCCCTCGATTGATTTTGGACTTCTTTTTTTGGGGGCTAAAATAAATTTTTTTTTATGCAACAAATAATCATTTATATCAGAATTTTACATATTAAAACTAAAAAAGGTATAGCATCTTAAAAACATTATACTATCAACTTAAAAATATTTTTTTGTTGAATTTCGGAAGTTCAAATTCGTGTTATTATTTATTATATTTATATAATTAATATATATAAATATATGTATAATTTATTAACGGATCCCCATGAAGGTTTCGGGACGGGATTGTCCATCCCCGCCCCCGCCACCGAATTTAAAATGAGGGTTAACTTTGCCTCCGCCCACAATTTTTTTTAACAAATACCTCCAAACAAGACGGGACCCCCATGAAAATGTTTTTTTAACAAATACCTCCAAACAAGACGGACCCCCCATGGAAATGGGGTCCCACAGGACTTTTGATATCCCTATTGCTAGAGGCGAAGAGGATGAATGAAAAGTGGTGTCATCGACAAGTTCAAGGGTGCGCATAGGGTTGTCGAATGTGATTGGGGGTAGGTGAGACCCATTTTTATTTAATAATAATAATGAATAAAGTAAATTAGACAAAAAAAAAATTATCATTTTATATATAAAATGTATTTGACAGAGGGGTTAGACGGTAACTATAAATAGTGACGTTTTAGTATATGACACGTAGTGGCACGTGTATCTCTGACTTTTCTGGACGCAATGCAAAAGTTTTCGAATTTTTTTCTATTATCGTGCAATTTTTATTTTCTCGTGACACCTCTACTATGAGATATTGCGCCCAACCCTAACTAGAAAGGACGAAAGCTAATTGTTGTGAACATAAGGACCTTTGCATTAATGTTTTAAAAGCAATGACTAAAACTGCCAAAAGATGCATAACACAGGGAGAAATTTGTAATTAACTCTAATTTTAATGTATTTTATTAAAAGAATTACTTGATTAAAATTATATGGTGTATCTATTCCGCTATTCGTAACTAACTATAACCTCTTTGAGAGATTTATGATGTTTGATATCCAAAGCTTTTTCGAATTTCATCTGTTGAAATTATATTTGTTAAAATTTATAATATTAAATCTTTTGAGTTCGTTTCTTTGAAAATAGTTTTCAGTTTTTTGAAAATCTATATCGGTTTAAGTGTTACCAACCATCATAGTATATGTGAGTCAACAAATTTATCTTGCAATTTTTATGTTGTTACATGTATGTTTTCTTTTTGGATAATATATTATACTTTGAATCAGGATTCTAAATAAATAAATAAATAAATAAATAATCTAATTTTTAAAAACTTTCATATTTTTAGCACTTCGAACATATATATGTGTTTCTTAACAATGTTTTTTAAATTACAAATTGAATATATTTTTAAATAAATGTTGTTTTTATCTATGTCTCAAACGAAACTTGAACCTTTGACATTAAGAAAGATAGGTGATAATTGATATCGTTGGGTTAGAAACCTTTTGTTATAACATCTTAAAAATTTGGAATAATAAATTTCAAAATCTCAAAAACTTTGATGATGGGCAAATTATAAGATATATGTTGCTTTTTAGGTGGGTGAGTGAAAGAGGAGCATGAGAGAAGGATCGGGGTGGTGGAGAGATGGAGGGAAATAAGAGCTTATTAGGGTACCCGTCTTGATTCAAGATGAATAAAAAAAAAGGTCGATTGTGGGGAAATGCGGAGTGGCTAGAGACAAGAAATACATGAAGTATCGGCTTTGATACCATTGATATTGATAATGGCGAGAGGTAGGGTGACCATACCGTCCATTCTTAAATCTTTTACATGTAAACTCATTATTAATATTTTGAGATGTTTACAAGAAAATTCATAATTTTTTTTTGAGTTTGTATGGTTATATACTTTTTTTTTTCTTTTCTGATTTTTCCCCATAATTTTCATTCAACTTGTTAGTTTTATCATTTATCATTTTTAATTATATATTTATAATTAACATAATATATAATTAGGGAAATCAAGTATAATCCTATTTTTTTATCATACAATCTTTCTACGTACTTAATATTATGACACTTGTTATATTTAATATAATTAATAAATGAGAAGTAGAGTAATCTAACCCTTATAAACGGGTATTTTAATAATAATAACCAACTTTTTTTTTTTTTTGGTAAAATGATCATTTTCTTCGGAATAAAACATTCTGGGGTTAGGGTATTCATTACATAGCTTCGATCCGAAACAAGATTATCCATACATTTTGGACTTACATTCTGTAATACAACTGTCTGAAATAAGAATCGATGTACAATTGTCAGCTAGTAATTTGAAGTGACAATACGGAGGCACCAACACATATTATAGATAATTATTCTAGATTATAAAATATCAATTTCCGTCCCTTGTATATAAATCTTACTGGATGTAGTTAGACGCTTATTTGTGATCATTCGTAATTATCTCTTATAACTCCTTCAAGACGTGTTTCTCATAGAGTGATCACGAAGAAAAATTTAACAACCTGCCTTTTTACTTACATAACCTTAGGTGGACCAACCTTCATAGTTACATGAACATCAAAACTGATGTGATTGATCATTTCCAAGTCTGTTTTGTAACTATTGGATGCGTGACAAAATTTTTGTTCCATATCTTTTATTGTTTTTTTAAAATTGATAACGTTTGTATACCTAAAGCATTTTGGTTTGTTTTTTCAAAAAAATATAGCTACATGTATTCATAGGTTGCTTCCGGTCTGTCATCTTTATAGGTAGTGTGTGTCTAACAAGGGACTACCTAAACATAGTGTTCATAGTGGTTGTTATGGACAGGAACAACCAGGCTCTGCCTCCAGAATTTCGAATCAGTGCGACAAATAATGTCGAATCTTGTACCCGGTTCTTGATGAGGTTGAATGAAGCTCTCAGAGATGGCAAGAAAGTATCATTCATAACCAATATGGACGATATCATTAGTTCTTGTAACACCCTGTCTCGGTTCGTTTCATAATTCGGGTTCGTGACCCGATGATCAAGTATCATAAGGCTTCGGTGTGACATCCCTAAATTCACTGCCAGAAAAGACCGATTTGTTTATGTTTTATGTGGAAACGAAAGTATACTTTTAAAGGAAAGTGTTGCGGAATTTGTTCCCAGAAAAACATGATAAATATATTATCAAAGCATTTCCGAACAAATGCATTTTGTTCATATTAAAACTTTGGGATATCATTGTCAATAAAGAAACATAAGCATAAACAGACCTTACATTCATTTACACTAATGATGCACATATATTTTAATCTCTCAGTGTAATGCAACTTCGTATCGACACATGTGATACAAATAAACTGAGTGGGTCAGGTTGGGAAACTTGGTGAGTACATAGGGTTTTCAACCCACAATATAAAGTTATTATGTTGTATCATCAAACAATTAACCTAATTACTCATCCCCATTTTCTTCTTTATTTCTTAAGGATATATCCTAAGAATCAGCTATTTTTCATTCATTTATTCCTAAGATTCTTCCCAAGGAATATGCACGAAGTCCATCGCTGTCAGGGTTTGTTTAACAGGCACTAAGTCCATAGCTGCCCATGCTCATTCGTAAAGCACTAAATCCATAGCTCTTGAAGTTCATTTATCGGGTACTAAGTCCATAGTTACCATCGTTTATCTAGTAGGTACTATGCCCATAGCTACCATCGTTTATCTAATAGCTACTAAGTCCATAGCTACCATCGTTTATCTAATAGGCACTAAGTCCATAGTTGCAATGGTTTATCTTATTTATCGACAATATTATTCACAGGAGTCCACCCACAATACATGTCAATGGGTTTTTAGAGTACACCGGGTGAACATATTGTTCACAACACCTATAAGTTGCGAGCCTGCTTGTGTTCCACTGGACTGTCTAGAATAGTCCGTGGTTGTCATCTATACTCTGCTCGATGATGGGGCCATTGCTTGGGTAAGGGCTTCTCTTATTTTTCACCCTTCACCCCATCTCATGTTCTATGTCACCTTTCATCTCATCCTCCGACTCATCTTTCTTCACACACTAGTTATTTCATCTACCCATGTTCTACCAAACATATTTGTAGATATAAAATACATATATAGTTCAGATCTGAAGAAAAAGTTTAGATCTGAAAAGAAAATACATATACAGTTCAGATTTGAAGAAAAAGGGTCTAGATCTGAAAAACAATGTTTAAATCTTTCATCTAGTATAGATCTCAAGTTATAAAATACATATACAGTTTTAGATCTGAAAAACAAAGTTTAAATCTTTCCTCCAACACCGATCTCAAGTAAACAGATAGTATGCACACATAGCACGTAAATTAAATAAAATACTTCATATCTATGTGTAAGATAAAAGTAACTATGCACTCACCTTAGTAGCGTGAGTTGATAGAATCTAACTAGAAACGGTCAGCGGTTCATGATCGTCGGGCTCGGGACACGGAACGGATTCAACAAACGATAGAGAGGAAAGAGGTTTTGGTGTAAAGAGGCTTAAGGTCAAAATGGCTATTTATAGGCTAAGTTTTGGCCTCTCACGTCGTGAGCCACACATGCTCACGTCGTGAGCCATGCCTGTTCACCTTATAGACTTTCCATTTGTGCTTATAGCTCTAAAACATGTCTTGACTGATGGGTTTTATACAAACAATCATATGTGTGCATGCAACCCTAGATTTGGATCTATGTTTTCACTATTAGATACACAACATTATGAAGACATGGATAAAACCCTAATGTAGCTTGCTATTTTCGAAATTAATATATAAGGTTAGATCACATACCTCTTGTTGTTATATTGCAATAACAACTTAAATCTTCAAACCCTAAGTCTTGAAAGCAAACCACAAGCAATTGGAGAGGCTATAGAGAGAGAATGGAGGAGGTAGAAATCGGCCTAGGGATCTCTTAGAAGCAAGTGGGACGATTTCTTAAGGCCTAGGGGTCTTTATATAGTGTTGAGATTAGGGTTTCAGTCCTTATCCTTATCTAGTTGCTTGCCCACCAAGCAACCACAAGATAAGCCTTGATAACCCTTATCTCTTGGACCATATGGACGATTTCAAGGATATACAATCCCTTGAATTCGTCCATCCTTCTACAAGGATAATCATTGCCCTATTTCGTAACTATCACATAATTACAATTCAGCCCTTCTAGTTTAATTAATTACACTTGATCACCAAATTAATTCCTAATTAATTATTGACCAATATTAATTAAACAAATATGATTTCTCCTTTAATATATTATTCTTATAACATATTAATAAATCATAATAACCTCTTTCTCTATTTATTTCTCCAGTCAAATTGCTTTGGTGAAGCAACCCAAAAGGACCATGCACAACCGGGTCAAGTATTTACCAAATATGGTTACGGGCTTAGACACTAATCCAACATGGACAACTTCTCACGTTGTGAGAATGATATGCTCACGTTGTGAGCTTCCAAGAGTCATCTTGTAGACTTCCCATGTGTTTTCGAGGCTCTATTA